AAGTATATAGGAGTTGTAGAAGTTAATTAAGGTGCCATCGCTGTGATAGTTGTGAGCCGGGGTAAGCTTGGTGCTACCTCTTTTCTTTTATTTGTTATTTTCTTTGAATAAGAAGATTGAGAGTTTCTGAATATTGTAAAGTGAATTATGGAATGGAAATGTGATTGGTATTATTTGAGAAGAAGAAAGATTGAATGTTGAAATCTGATTGTAGTTTAGCAAAGACAATGAGTTTGTGTTTGTGTGAAACACCGTAATGTGAATGGCAGTTCTGTGTGAAGAATTCCAGTGATTAGAATGAGGGTAATTGTGTGCTGAAAGCTGTGAGGGCACAGTATTACAGTTGGAGATTATGAGGGTGAATATATTGGTTGAAATAGCAGTTATTGGTATGACTAAATTGTTGTAAGGAAGAGACCGATTAGGTAAAGGAGGAGTTTATAGTTTCCTTGTGTGTTCAGATATTGGAAATAGAGACGATACATTCAGGAGGTAATTGATTGTGTGACCTTAACTTGAACGCTTAAGCAACTAGTCATTTCTCGTGTTCGAATCTCCCTATACGAGTTTATTCCCATTAGATTAATTTGGAATAAGTAAAATGAGCAATCACAATGTATATATGATTTTATATATATTTATAGTTAATTGGTAGGTTAAAACTTAGTCAACAAGTTAGCCATGTGTTATATGTATAAATAGCTTGTCATATAAGTTAAAAATATGGCATATATATAGAAAACTTATCTTGCAAGTTAAGTCACATGTCTTAAAAATTAAATGCATATTAGAGGTTCTATAGGATGTTATCACATAGCTCTTAATTGGATAGTATATATGGAAGCAAGGGTGAAGCATTTTTTACTCTTGTCAATACCTTTTTAATCTTTAATTTTATTTCAAAACTTTTTAGTCTTCTTGTCTTTGGCAATAGCCATTCCAATTTAATATATTATCATCTTTGAGTGACTTTTTAGTCTTTTTAAGTGACATAAGAATGTATTGAGATTTATTTTTTTTGAAATCTATGTCCTTGGTAATGCAAGGAGACATAATCAATTCTATTTAACTCAAATATAAAGTTTTATCCATCAATTCAACAAAACCAATTACTAAAAAATACTTACTTAATGGTTTTATTTTAAATTATGCTTAATTTTTTATTAAAAAAAAATGAAGCAAATCTACATTGCAAAAGAAATAATTGCCATTGAAGCATGCTACTTGAAGGACTATTTAATTGTAGCCAAATTTATCAATGATAAGTTCACCTCTTCTTTTTTTTTATTTTAATTATCTATTGGAAATGCAGAATTATCTTTTTAAGATAACTCAAGTATTTTGATTCCAACAGTCATTGAGATATACTTGTTCCTACTTGAATTATCTTAAAAAGACTTCTATAATAATATTCATATGTTGCTTTGGAAATTACCAAAAACTTAGGCAAAGTGCTTGTGGTAGATTTGAAATCTAATATCTTTGTAAAATCTTAAGTATATGTTGATTTAAACACAAATTATAGATAGAAGATTGAAATTAAAATAGAAGATTGCATAATACATATTTTAATTACTGTTATAGTTGATTGTATATATCTTTCTATTGGATGCATATTTTTCCTTGATGCTCAATACAAAGTCAAAAATTACCTATATAGACTTGAAGCACTTTAATTAAAATCTATTAAAAATTAGCACAAAAAAAAAAGCAATAAGGATCCTAAATGCAATAAAATTGAGTAACATATAATATACTAAGATAGAGGCTCTTTTCCTAAGAGATCTCACATAAATAAAGAAGGATTTATTATAGTTGAAAGAAGCAATTGAGAGTTAACTAGGACTTTATCATAGCCCCAAATTTCCTTGATTTCCTTACTTCTTTAAGAATTTTAGTTCCACAAGGTACAAGAATCTTAAAACCCTCCTCAAACCAATCAGACCATGCTAGCTTCATTTGTCTCTATGATGTTGGATATAACTTCTTCACATATCTTATAATAACAAAAATGCTTTTAAGAATTCTAGCCTATCAACAAGTTCTTTCAACAATCTATGCAACTTCAATTTATTAGTACTTCTCTAATATTAATCTATAAAGACTCAATTCCAATCTATGGATCCTAATCAAATAACAATTATTCTCCTTCACCTTAGAATTCTAATTCAGTCAATCTTAAAGTAGCTTGTTGGATCCCTTATAAAAATGGCATCCAAATTAAGCATGGTGGCATCACCATTGAAGCCCTATTTTCCTTCTTCCAAGCAGGTATTAGATTGATTTCATTTCTTTTAAATATTGGCCACCACATTGACCATGATATAACTTCCTTGGAATCATCCAATATAAGAAGAGATTTCTTAGTATCTCCAAGTTTTTTTTCCAAAATAAACTTAACTCAAACAGATTTATCAAAACCCTCTATTGACTTGAGCAATCAATTATACCACATCAATTTCAAAGTCTACCTCATTTCTAATAAACTAATGAATTAAGTATTTAGATTCAATTTGATTTACTTACGGTTGGATAATATTGAATGCCTTAAGCTTTGCTGATCTCCAAAATCAAACTCTAAAGTATCTTCTTTTCTTTGTAGCAAAAGCTATAACAAAAGATTTGTAAAGATACTAGAAAAAATCCTTTTTACATCTTAGTATCCTTTTTTTTATAAAATCAAGTCAATCTTATTAGTAACAAGGCAACTTCTTCCATCAAAACATTGATTATTTTTTATGATTCTAAAATCAATAACATTCAATGTGTGAAGACTAAATAATTGATATAAGATAGATCATATTTAAAGCTATCTCTATAACATAGATAATGGTCTTAAAATAATCATGCTCTAAAAATACAAGCTCTAAAGTAATTAGATATGTGAGCTTGATAAGATATTTTAATCTTATTATAGACAATGGTTGGTAGAGGCTACCTTTGACTATAATATTGATGGCACAAAAGATCTAAAAAAGAGAGGCGTTTACACCTTAGTCCATAGAAAACTCCTCCCACTAGCCATTGATTCAAAGACAATCCTAAAAAGCTATACTATATGGTTCAGACTTAGTAATCTATTAGAAGAGGATCTAAGTATGTTGAATCTCTATGCACCAAATTAACCAAATGAATGAAATTTATTATAGTAAGAATTGACCTTGTAATTACCACAAGCCTATAGATTAGTAGTAATTTCAACATGGTTAAATGCCACCAAGATATAATAATTTTTTGTAGCCAATTATAAACAAATAGAGAAAAACTAGCTTGGAATCAATTCAAACAAGCCTTCTACTTAATTGATTAATTTAGTTCTAATGATAAACTCCAATTCATATGAAATAAGTACTAAATGGACCGCTATCACATACTAAGATATTTAGACAAATACTACATCTTTGGAAGGTTGTGTATCAATTTTTGTGATATTGTACAAAATTAAATCATTCTTGAAGATAGTATAATCTTCAACCACTTGCAAGTCCAAATAGATCTATCTATTACTAATAAAAGTTTTTGCAAAGATACTTACAAGATGAACACAAGTTATTTAGAGGTCCAAAAGTCAAAAAAGAAATAATTAGAATTTGATCAAAAGAGAGGTAAATTACATTGATTTTTTTCTCAACTCTAGCACTTCACCAAATGATATGAAAAATTCTACATCCAAAAGGCAAAAGACAACCATTGCTAAAATTAAAAAAAATAAAGATTAGCTCTTCTTTGGATTCAAAATTTTTTTAAGATGATTCAAACTACATAGATAAATAATAATGAGAAGAAGAATGTAGAGCCTTATTAATAATAATAGAAGATTGCAAGTTGGTCAAGCAATAGATACAAGCTCAAGTACAATAGAAATCCACTTCAAACAAAATAAGTATTGAATTTTTTAAAACTATCTAAAAGCAACCAATCTAAGGTCTCTTATCCAAACTATGTAATATGAATGGAGACCTTAAGGTAGAAAACCAAGCCTTTACAACTGAATACATGTCATATTTTTTAAAATTGTATAAAGCAATTTTCAAAGTTCCATAATCTACTACCGCAAAGTTAGTAATACTTACAATTGTCTTCACCAATATAGCACCACTAATGATTTATTTGCTATAACTCTCACTAATAACTACTAAGCTTTATTAAACAACATATAAAATGACCAAGGAAAAAATCCTTGGATTGGATGAAATAGCTCTTAATTTTTTCATAATCTACTAGAAAACCTTAGTAAAAGATTATTTGTAAATAATTATAAGAATATTAAAAATAAAATAAAATAAAATAAAATGAAAGAAGTGACCAAGGATTTAATCACCTTCATTCACAAAGAAGGTATAAGAAATTTACTTGGAAATTGATATTCCATCACTCTTCTTAATGTGATATATAAAATATACGCTAATGCACTTCAATTTAGGCTGCAAAACAACTTTAGAGGATTAATTAGCCACAATGAAAGTATATTTGTTCTAAATTATTTTATTTTGGATAAAATCATGCTAACATATGAAATTGTGACATGAGCTAAGAAGTCCAAACAAGATGTAATTTTCTTGAAGCTTGATTTTTTTCAAAATATAGAATAAAGTTAATTGATACTTCTTCCTCAATATTATGTCTACAATGGATTTTTTCCAAACTTTTATTGATATAGTGTGTTTGATACTATTAGGAGCAAAGGCCATGATTAATGTCAATGGCCAAGCTATCACATCCTTTTCAATTCAATATAGAGTTTGTCAAGGGTGTTCTTTGGCATTCTACTTATTTCTACTTATAAGAAAGGCCTTCAATGGCAAAATGCAAGAAGGTCTATAATAAGGACTAATTCATCAAATCCAAAAACCGAGTACAAGCTTATAACAACTCACTCTTTAATATGCAAATGATACTTCTTTCATTGTAAAAGTTAAGAAGTGTTTTATTTCCAACTTGATCAAAATATTAGATACATTCAACATAGCATCAAGGCTTATTATCAATCAGGCCAAATCTAGTACATATTGGGTGAGAAGAACAGGCCCCCTCTTACATTCAATACAAATTTATGAATGGACATGGATAGAAGAAGGATACTTAGCTAAACTTCTAGGAATTCCTTTTGAACTAGGAGTTTCCACCAAAGACATTGATAAGTTCTTCCTTACTCAAGTGAAAGAAAAAAAAAAAAAAAAAAAAAAAAAAACACTCACCTACTAGAACTTTGTCAAGTTATCTTTAGAAGACACCTAGTTGTCAACCAAGTACTCATGTCAACCCTATGGTATTTCATTGGTGTTTGGGCAGGCTCTAAGAGAGTTGTCAAACAAGTTAAAAGCCTTCTTAGCAACTACCTATGGACAGGGCATGAACAAAGGACCAGTACCCAAGTGGCATGGAATATCTGCGTCCGGAAGAAAAAACTAAGAGTCTCAGCCTCACGGATCTTGATAGCACCATGACAGCTCTCCTTAGCAAATGGTCGATCAAAGCTTTCGAACTGGGTCACTCTAACTTACAACAGTTCCTCAAATACAGACTTGCTTGCTACCAACCGAAGAAGGGAGGCTGCTGGGCAGCCCATCCACAGTGTCCCGTGCTCCGCAAATACCAAAGCTTCCCTGGCTCTAAAGTTGGGAACCAGGTCACAAAGGTTCCACTTTCAAAGTGGTATCAACTGTCAAACTCTTGCACAGCCCCAAATTCACGAGCATACAACCTGCATTCTCCAAAGCCCTGGCGATAGAGCTTTTCAACACAAGGCTACACACAGTTCGCGACTGTTGGTGTGACACCATATCCAGCCCACTTCCCTGCCAAGTCGCACAAACACGCTTCCGTCTCCGAGACAAAGAATCTCCAAGGTGGGAGACCATTTATTCCGCATTGACAGACCATTCTGGGGGCATCCTTCACCAAGAAGTTAGTTCCTTAGGCCGCTTCGATTGGCTGGGTTTGTTCCCATCAACCCAGAGCCACACCCTTGCTCTTGTCGTCCCAGCCGAAATTTTTTACCATGTAACAGGGAATTCACCATGCCGATTACAGATCTCCCGTCTGACCTCTACCTAATCACAGTAGCGACCCAAACACTAGCTGAAATCCTAGATATACAGCTTTGGCTTACTTCTCAGCAAGCCTCATAGTAGGTTCAACGTGCAGTCAATCCCAAGAAAGCAACAATCACCGGCACAATCCGAATTATCCGAGTACTGGAAATAATAAAAAGAGTGCGACAATACCAAACACTATTATTATGGGCCGATAGCAGACCTCCACTTCGATCCAAAACGATTCGAGTGGCCCGGCAATCACCTCCTACTCGCCTACATCACCAAAATCATGCGAGAGTGTTTGTGCAATACCAACACACCAGTCGACCTCCATACGACTAAGTAGAAAGAACAAATCTCCCCCGACACCAAGTTCGACAAGAAGATAAAAAAGCATAAAAAAAGAACCCAGAAGGAAGCTGTATTCATATGGAGAAACTACCACAAAGCGATTGCAGTCAACATATAGAGAGGCAGAATCGGGACTAACATCAACACAGTGTGCTCCTTCTGTCCCGGATATGCCAAAACCATTATGCATAGATAGGAGTACCCCCGTGCAAATCAAATCTAGCAATGGTGTGCAAACTTGATACATGTTCTGCAAAGTAAGCCAGCGGAACCACCCACACGAACTTGAATAGCGTGAAACCATTGTGTATTCTCCAAAAATCTGCCTAAAAAATTTGGCAATGTAAAATTAATTTGGACCCTCCTCAGGAGCATTGCGATTTGGGAGTTGTGAATCGAACGTAATGCAATGGTTTTCAAGGCCGAGGACTGGCCTTATGAACAAATGGCGGAAAGAATATGGCATAGCCTTCAGGATTATGGTCGCATCGAGTGGAAGGGGCTGACCCTCACTTTGATGAAAGGCAAAGAGGTAGTCGATTTCTGGTTTGAATCTTTTGATAACTTGTGGGGAAATAATAGAATTTTATGTTCTGGAACAGGCAGTTCTTTGCGTTGGTTACCATTTAGAAATAGCTCACCGAATCTTATCCAGTGATCCCATCTAGCTGGGTTGTACCATATATCTCGTTTGAGTCACCAGTCCAGTCCAGCTAGGCGGGGGGTTTTAAATTCTATTTTGCCTGGTTTTGCACCGGTTACTCCCTGCAATGAATTATTTTTTATTTGTGTAAAAAAAAATTAAAAAATTAAAAAAGTGTTCGATCCAATAGATATCAATCATTTAAACTTCAATCTGTTTGGAATATACCTGTAGAAAGTAAAAGGTCGTGGAATCTTGTGTGACGAAAAAGTTTCAACGCGTGTAACAATGTCGTAGGAATTCACAACAGTAAAAATCGTTACACCCACGTTGATTGAGAGGGAGGTGGACACAGTGTGTCACATATTAGCGGACATGTAGTTCAGTGAGGAGATATTTCTGAAAAATACGGTTGATAATTTTGAATCATGAATTAATTAGAGCAAATGTATTTAAGGAGTTTTTCTTGATGGTTCAGTGGTCTGTCAAACCTTCGTGAAATCCAGACCAGAACTTGTCCAAGATGACATGACATGCCAGACTTTCCAATCGAATAATCACCCCGTACAATTTGTAAGTACAGTAGTGGATGAATCTGCTTCATAATCTGAAGCGAGAAGTGTTAGAATTTGCATGCTAGGTCTTTCACAGATTGCATCTTCGTGCATACTTTGCAACAGTGTTTGTACGAACATGACGAATCCATTGCTTTAATGTGTTTCATCAAGCACACTGTTTCAAAATTACGTTGTAAATAAGATAGTACGTAGCAGCACCTCCAACACTCGCAAACATAGGCCAACATGACTCATCAATTCATTGTCTTCAGCCTCCAGAAAAACAGCTTCGGAAGTTTCTTCTGGAAATTCGTTTTGTCCAGTTCTGTGCGTTATCTGTTTCAATTTAATCAGCATTTGTTACAATAACAAAACCCTGTGAAGCCTACTGCATTCTTCAGTGTGTCAGAACGAGTGGAACATATCACCGCTCAACCATATGGCCAAGCCGAAGGGCAGTTTTCAAATCTAAGCCTTCGCCTGCAAGAACAGAGTACCTTTGAATTTCATTTTGATACTGCCAAAATGCAATGCACTGGCTGAGTCGAGTGATTGAAATATCGATTCGACGAGTTGCTTCAGCGTTGATAATTGTCCAGGGACAAGAAAGTACGATCGCCCACATGCACGTAGAACAGAAGTAAACTGTAAGGGTTGAGGGAATTTCTCTCCAGTTTGCAGACAGACTCTACATCAGTCTTGAAACAGGATCAGTTCAAACTGCGTGACTGCAATGTGACTGAAATGTGACTGATGCTTCTATTAGTTCGTGCACCGAATTCCTTTGGATTGCGTCATGATTAAGTCTAAAACGAAACTGTCCGACAAGAGCTTCAAACGGAACAAAGTCAATGACTTCTGTTCACAGATATTTTTGTTGACCAGGATTCGCTATGGAGGTTCTTCCAGGGACAGATGAGTTCACGTGCAGAAGTGTAACCGTTGGGTTCACGAGGTAAAGATAGCTGACCCTTCTAAATCATTTGCAATAAGTTCTCGCAGATACTCTTGCCAAAATAACAGAAAACTAAATATTCCTGAGATCCCCCACAAGCGACACTTTGAGCGTGAACATAAATTCCACAAAGAACAAGATCCGCTCGAAGTCAGGGGCACGTCTGTGAAGAGTGATTGCAGCACATCTAATAATCGACAGAATCTATCGCTGACAGCTATACACACACCAGTAAACTCTATGTTTGGTTCTGCTGACGAAGATCACTGAAAGATCCAGTCCAACCATTTCTTAGAGAGTAAGAGAACATGACACCAGAAGTGTAGGGCACGAATCTTTCAAAACACATAATTCACAACCTGGCATGCAAGGTCGACACAGGTTTCAGGTTCACGGGTATACTGCGTAATGAACCAGAGGGAAACATCTTAAAGTCGTTTTAGATCAAATCCCTGACTGCATGGTCGCATTTCCAGGACAGAACGAGTGGAGAACATTTCAAAGAAACTTACTCTGTACCAAAGTGCAGCCGCATGCGCTTTACATGACATATCAATACATTAGTAGACATGAACGTGATAGACATTTATGTGTGCGTGTATATATATGAAACACATGCAGCGGAAGGTACTGCGAACTGGACATTTTATTTCTGCCCTGGTTGGCACCCTTCATACAGTATCAACAAATACTTGCATCACAATTGCATCTAATGCTTACCTTGAAGGTGATATAACAGAATGGTGATGAAGTAGATGGCAAAGCACACAAAAGATGTTGTGATTTAACTAAGCGCTGCTAAAACAAATGTCAAAATGACATCATCAGAAACCAGGAAATGAGATCTTTTTACGATGATAACATCTCAGAACACCAGCTCGCTTTAAAAACCCCACAAATGGAAACATCCACCAACGAGTGGAATATTCCAGGGTTGACAGAACAGTTCTTCCATAGAACAATCACTGAAAAGAATGACTGCTAACATGGCAATCCATGTAAAGAGGGGACACACGTAAAGGATGTGTTCAGAAACCACAAGCTACTAAATCCATCTCCACAGAATCTGGGTAAGAGAGTATTTGCTGAATAGTTTCCAGAGGAACTTGTTCGTGTTAAGAGGGACAAAATACTTCATAACTTCATAGAGATGATATAATAGCAGATAATAACTTTCAAGAGCAAGTACATTAATTCAATGTAGACCGCAGTGATCCTAGCTTATAACCCATTGAGTCCTCGTTGAGTCCCGAGGTGTACTAAGGCACACTGTAGAGGTATCAAGTCAAGCGGCCATTATTGGACTGAAAGAGATGTACTAGCACTTTCAAGAGCAAGGGACTGGAGAGGCTCAGGTTGCAGGGATATTGATACCGACAAAGACGTGCGCATAAGAGAGGCCAGCGTCACTTTGAGTATCAATCACGATCGCAAGGTCTTTCACGAAGATTATACCTGAAGTCTGAATGTCGTGTACAGATTGGCTGAGGTTGAAGTGGCAATACAAACTCTCGTCATCGTGCCGCATCACTAGAATCCGAAGGCATAGGTATCTCTTAAGAACAGGTAAGCATACTTCCACGGTTTGTATGGGAGATGACGCAGAATCTTCCTACTCATATTAACTGTCAATTCGAAACTCACATCGAGTAACAAGTACTGTAGAGAACTCGGGGTTCATCATATGCCATTGTTACCTTTAACTAGTTGGTCGCAGATGTTTATCTAGCATTTACAGAGCTGTTTCCTTTCGTCTGATTTGATACACTACGATCGATATAGATCAACGTAACAATACCTTAAACACAGTGCTGCTAGAGTTGCGGACTTATGCACAGCTAGACTCTCAAATACAGGTTATCAAGCTGGTATATATAACTTATCCTCATCTACCGTTACTGCGAAGGACACAGTTCGGATACGACAAATCCTGTCTTTTGTAACATCTCCAATAATGTCATTCAAGTAGGTGCACTCTTAATTAACGTTAGTTAATATTCCTATTGAAATGAAGGTTCCAAAGATTGGAAGATAAGTGAAATGTGATTGGGGTCAGCAGTTGGAGTTGATCGGATACTATTGTTTAGAGAAGTAGAAAAGCAATAATTTCAGGGACATGGATAGCAGATACAGTTGGTGATCGCCTTCCGCACTTTCCATTGACATTATCTTAAAACCACTAGCCCTTTCAAAAGAAATAAGGTTTTACGTGCACTAAAATCTCTCTCTCTCTCTCTCTCTCTCTCTCTCTCTCTCAACGTATACAGGAAATGAAATTGAACACCGACAATCCCTGCTTAGCACAGAAACTTTCAGAAAGCATCCCACCATGGAGTACAATAAAGATGACAAGAGCAACATGCAGGTGCTCGTGACACGTACAAAAGTTAAAGATCTTTCCATCAACTTTTATTACATGGCTAAAAGGTACATTACACATTCTTTAACACGCTCGGGTATCGAGACAGTTGAAAGCGTAAAAAGTGAAACAAAAACCACCATCTGTAGGTTCTCTCGACCAGTGTCCATAGTGATCGACTGTAGATACCGATTGGTGAATTTCTGAGAATGATTGATCATCGAAAGTGTTGTTATACACTTATGTGAAACAACCAAACAAGAAGAATATGAAACTCAGCAACACTCAAACAGAATAACCATGATGCCTAACATTCTCCAAAATTAACAGTCTAAGGACATATGTTTCTAAGATTCATGAACCTATCACACCTAAAATTAAGCATTACTTCAGTCTAGGTGCAGGAAAGACAACTCACAATACAAGCGTTTTCTCCAATAAACTCAGAGTATAGGAACAACATTAACAGGCCTGTGCACACCTACAAGTGAAATGCAGGTTCTCCGTAAACATATAGCTTCCACGCTGCAGAATGCCATGTCTGATCGATCTAATCTTCCTGATCTTAAAATTAACAGCATGAAGTCCATGTGAAACATCGAACAGTTTGTACAACGAAAACCGAAACCATGTGTTTCGAAGGGCCTCAGTAAGTAATCAAAGACTGAAATGAAAGTCGAAGTGTGTCACTCTCAAAGCAGGAATTGGTGGTGCCGCCTTACCTTAGTTGCCTCACGTGTTTATTGAGAGTCTTCCGTCCATCACCATGATGAAACTGCGCTGAGGGGAATGAAGCCTGGTCCGAAACGTAGTATCAATACCACCACGTTAAGATGGAGCACATAGCTTCGGTCCATGCGGCATTCCTCACAGCAAGGTTCACAACTCCAAAAGCACATTTTATCCTACAGAAATGGTTTTATGAAGTGATTTTCGTTGATGTAAGGATGAGACCCAACAGTAGCTCACAGCTTTGTTGTACAGGATGTTGGCAGGATGAAGTAGAAGTAATCATGGACTTAAAATCCCCGAAAACACGCCTAAGGAATGATCTCGCAGCTATTCGTGTATATCCGAAGTCATGAAAATTTAAGATCTATTCGCCACAATCTCGATGGTCACCTAGTGAGTGAGACCCTACAAGGCATTGGGTAACCGAGATCCAGCAAGTGCTTCGTTGAAACTCAACCTGACACAAGTACTGACAATCTAAGGTCGAGATGTCAAACCGGTTTAACGGTTGAAATTTCGTGTTCAAGGTGTTGGGTCTAAAGTTCTGTTATACGAAGCGAGTTTCTCGAGGCTCTACCATCTTGATAGTGGAAGGATGTCTCTGTAAACCCAAGTGCTGCAAGAACTACCTGTGAGATAGTGGTCAATACAACATCTTTAGACGGTCACAACTCAGAGAATGCAAGACTAACTGATTCGTAACAACTAAATGAGGAACACATCCACAATTTCGGGCCAATGATCCGACGTCTAATAACCCTTCAAACCACCCTGGCGCAGAGTCTTCCTCCGCCTTATAACCCTCGGCTCACACTCCAAAGCCCGTCAAGGGATTCACCTTTTTCAGGCTACAGAAAAGCAACTTGCCAGGGACGCTTCACGTCACCCACGTCACAGAGCCCGATCTTGGGGTCGGACACCAATTTACCGTATCAAAGACAAATCGTACCTCACTACCACCAATGACGCACAATTTTAATTTCGACTCGCCTAACTGTACACACATAGATCAAGATACCATTCCCCCTCTCCACAAAATCCCACTGCCTACCAAGAACGTTTACTACGTAGCCCCGAGAATCGACCTATGCCACCCACATAGGCAGCAGCTCACCGATCACCTCTGCCTCCGCCTGGGCAGATGCCGCACATCTAGATACTGGCATGCGGCAGGTGAACTAGGTAAGGGGATACGAGAGGAGCAAACCCACAGCATGATGAGCAGGCCTAGCGGCGTGGATAGATGGAGAGACCCGGCGCAGAAACTACCCAGTAGAGAGAGAACTAGGTTCAGACGGTGGTAATGAAGTTGTAAGGGGGCTACATGGAGAATATATAGTCGCAGGAGGCAAACGTAGAGCAGGTAATTTGCAAACGAGAGGTTCCCGGGGAGGTGATTCCCGCCCGCCGCAGGCAGGCAGCAGCTCACGGCGCTGATGGTGTTGATGGTGCTCCTCCTCCTGCTGCTGCTGCTCCTCGTGCTCGCGCATCAAGCCAGGATCGAAGACCAGTCTTCTCCTGGGTCTTGAGCGGAACGAACGAACGAACAACCGGTGGGGACGGATGAAGCTATTGATAAGGGGACGAATGAAGCCGACGGACGGATGAACTGCTGAGCAGTTGATGCGTCCACTTGGTCATGGCCACCGCTCCTATTCCCGTGCATTGATGTCGTGTTCTGCGAAATTTCGGTTGACATTATTATTTTGTTGTTATTGGTCGCGGCATAATGACCAGTCCTCACTATGGATGGACACTTGCTTCGTAGGCTTTTGCAATTCTTGTCTTTCTAGTATACGACAGTATGTTGGTGTGAGAAACCAAGAAATGTGCTTGTTAATTCTTGAAATTTGATTTCCTTAACATCGAAGTTCATACTTTAATCTGTCTTCTCGAATATACCATCAGGAATACTCTATGTTAATTCGATTTTGACGCTAAACAAGGGATGTTGAAAAGGTTAAAGAAAAGCTGGTTTCAATTGTCTCGATGATCATGAAAAATAAACTAGATAAATATCTCGCTTGCGCTATTAATTGTATATATTAAACAAATCGAAAGTATGTATGTTGGTTTGAAGTTGTCGAAGTGGCAGTTCTCGCTTTACTTATTTTTTCACTAACAAGTGATATGTATATATATATATATATATATATATATATGTATGTATATATATATATATGTGTGTGTGTGTGTGTGTGTGTGTGTATTTCGAAGTCATAAAATATTTTAAATCAATTTTAACGTTACACTGAAAAAGGTGAATATAACTATGCATTTTTTGTTGATAAACTGTATATTAACTTAGATCAAATAAACTCTGACATAGAAACATTTTGTCAATGTTTTTGACACTGAGTATGAAGTATTCGAATATATTGTATAAAATGATGATGATGCATTGTGTGAAGTTTAAAATTACAATGTTTGAAAAAGATGTTTCGCATCTTTCGAATAAGATCGTCAAAGAATATGAGAGCAAAGTATGTTCGTTGAAGAATTCTAGAACATGGAATTGGGATGCTTTGCTCTGTAAAGTTTCACACCCAGCAACATTTTTATACTTGATCTCGTATTGCATCATTCTATGAATGAGTGATCTATTAAAAACAGGTTGCATCAGCAATATTGCATCTTCCTTGACAGAAGCTAATCATAAATGTTAACAATTCTAACACGAAACAAAGTTGATCGTATAATCAAAGATACAAATAACTTAAACACCAATTGATGTATCTGACAATTTGAATACTGGATGGAGCTATCTTACATGCTAGCAATTAAAACATCAGCTGAGGACGAGATGGAACGGGGAGAAATGCTCACAGGCTTCGACGATTTCGTTCAACGAAACAGCACATCATCTGTTTCAATGTCCCTTCGATTTGAAAGAAAATCCCTCGCCCTCACAAAAGAGACAAGTTAATTGGCGTTGATAAATTTCTAAACCACGAGAATCGTCCTGGAATCAAGAGGCCCTGGGCAAAGCATCAACAACGAGCCCTAGACCCCACCACTTGACGCTGAGTGAGAATTCAAGAATACACCACTTCTAAATTTAGTTGTCGTTGTTGTTCCTTAATGCAGAAGAAAGTTTATTGCCCGGCAGAGTTCTTCGGATCCTGTTCCCTAGCAATGGTGCTGCTGCCACAGTCCAGGTACCGATCTGAGGCCCTCTTGTGTCCAGGATACTCAGCCAGGCTCCGGTAAGCAACGGAGAATCCCTACTATCACTGCCTACCGCTGCAATTTGGAAAGATCCTGCGTTGTTCAGGCAAGGTGTGACTCAACTTCCACGCAGACAAGGTTGCAGGTACTTGCAGTCGCAGCCATGACCCCTGGGCTCCCACATGAGAAAACAAAAGGCGCCGGTGCGCTCTCCACAATAATCTCCGCCTTGCGCGGCCAGCAAATAGCAATCCTGCCATGTTCGGTCAGTTACGAAACGGGACCATCGAAATCGTGCCAATAGTGTTACTAATTTTTTTTCTTATAACTGAAACTTGCCATAAACAGAGGGGCAATGTAGCGGAGGTCGATGAGACAGCATGATGTTAGAATGCCGGGGCACGGCGGCATCGGAAGACAAGGCGCTTCTGCAAGCCCCCAAGGGCTACCTGCCCCACTTCTTCGAGATGACGTGGACCGGTCCACGAAGCCTCGCCCACTCACGGCGGAGCACCTGCTGCCCTGCTGGAAAGGACGGAAAGGGGGGCTGTTGACTTTCCACTACTGCATGGGCCTGCAGCTGCGCTAGGGAATGTCCGGGGCACTTTAATTGGGACGCGGCATCGAATCCTGGCTCCTGTGTGAAATTGAACTTGGCTTCCCCTCTTTGGTTTTTTGAAGGGGTTTTATGGATCAGGCCCTCCATTAGGATGAATGTAGGTGTTAAAAATTACGGATAAATGCTGGTCCCGTAGCTTCTGTATTAATTAAAGAAGCTGGTGATGGGAACTATTTTATTGGGCCCACTACTCATTCCTCATTTTTTTCGTCCTTTCTGGCTTTAATTTGACACCTGGTTTAGTTAGTTAGTTAGAATGTTTCATGTTCCTTTTCACACCACGTGAGGGGAACATGGGAAACTAATTCTCATAACCAACTACTACTTTTGTCTGACAAAGCAAGCAGTGGGGAATGGTGTGCTCCACCAATACCAATGCCCAAGTCCACAAGTTGTGTATTTGTTCATATAAACACAACACATGAATGAATAAATAAAATAAATAAAAGGAGGATTTCGAACCAGGTAAGTTCTGAGTGTGAAAATTGAAGAGACTTCTACACGGTTTTTCTATTTCTGTTAGCAGCTTCAACCAAAGAACCTGAGTCAAAAGCCCACTTTAAATTTACTTGCAATAAGATCTAGATGTTGATTGAAATGAAACACAATTATTTTCCAATACTATTATTCAAAAAAAAATACATTGGTGAAATAAACATTTAATCCAAGATGAAGGATGTATAACATTAAAATAAATAAATAAATAAATAAATAAATAAAAACTAGGAGCAATTTCATCAAAGCAAATTCTAATCACATCAACAACAAAAATTGAATTCACAGGTGTGCTATGCCAGTAAATGATAAAAATGCTTGTTTGATGCAAGTTAGTGTTTTGCCTAAGGATTTGCAAGTCAATTTTGTCGTGGATGAAAGCCCCCATCAGAGGGACCTCAGACAACAAGCCTGCGTTGGACCCCATCTTTTCTTCCAATGAAGGTAGAGTCCCCTTCGTGCAGAACTGGGCTGTGCAATGAGGAGTTTGGCATGTTCTTTTGCTGCATGAAAAGGGGCTCATTGCTAGCATCACCTATCCCCAATTCCTGGTCCTGCCTTATTATTATTATCACCCATGTCTGTACATATCCCCTCTTGCACTCTGACCCTACAGTATAAACCCAGCTTGCAGATGAATTGGGTTACTGGGAAAGTGGTTACTGTCCCATAAAATCCAATTGAAATGCTCATTTTTACTTTACTACACTTTACAAATAGCATTAGTTAGGTACAAAGAGGAGGATATTTCAGGGGGGGGGGGGGCTGGTCTGAATGGGATGTGGCAGGGGCAGCTGCTGATGCTGCTCACTGTACCCCACAGTCCTGTAAGCAAATCTGATCAGTGTGACTTGATCAGAACCTCAACTTGGCCACTGTTCTAAACATTGCTCACCAGATATTAATAAAATGAACAACAAGCCAAATCCTCTGAATTGCAGTAAGAATAATCTTTGATGATGCTGATTTTGTGAGAGCAACTCAATTTCAGCATTATTATTATTATTTAATATGTTATGACCTTTCATTGGGTGGTATTTGTTTAATAGATTTCATTTGTATGGGAAAAGAGTTTGAGGCAAAATGTGCCTCACTGGGTACACACATTTACAAATACCCAATTGTTGCACAATGGACCTTGTTTGACATGAGAATTCCACCACACTTGTGGATAATAATAATTCCAGGGTAAATAGTAGTGACAAATAATGGAATATGGAAAATTTAGTTTCTTGTGTCAGTGTTCACACTGTCTGTCATAAATAAACTTTGGGCTATGATATTCATTATAAGCTCCTCTTGATTTAGAACAATGTTGATGAAACCCATTTTTTTCATGTGAAATTGGTGGTTGATAAAATGATTGCACTGAGGCAAATAGGATCAAGTTATAAGCAAGTGCAATTTGCATACTCACATGCAGGACATACACAAACAGATTGCTAACATATATATATATAGATATGAAAAAATATATATATTTACATATATATATATTGACAGAGCTTTTGAATAAACAGTTTGCAGGGAGTGAAGTGTAGGGTTTCACAGCAAGCAATCCAGTCAAATAGGTACCACTGGAACATGAGTTTATAATCTCCCAGTGGAATCAGTTGTGAGGGGCCTGGCATTGTTACCATTAATTATCCCTTAAAAAAATGCCCCCCCACAATGCTAGAAATTGCTATTTCTTATATCAGATTCGATTTGAGTGTGCATATCCAACTGTCTGAAGATGACACAATTGGGGAATCATGCACAGGAAGATGATGTCTGGTAAAATGAATAGTAATATGCTGGCATCTCCACCATCCATGGCACTGAAGCAGCAGCCTGGTATGAAGCTGTAGACCAACTTGGCCCCTCAACAAACACACTAAAAGTGTATAAAAAGAAACATTCCTAGCATTGTTTGTTATGTGGATGGATATCCAGGGAACATGAGCAACAGAACAAGAAGAACTAAACAACAAAAAAGAATAAAACTGAAGCATTATTCCACACCCCCACTCCCCAAGGAACCCCTAAATAAAAATGGGGTGCATGGAAGAGTTATGTTTTTTTTTTTGTTTTTTTTTGTTTTTTCACTTCTACCCATTTGAGAGTTTCCTTTTGCTTAGACAGATTTTTTCTTTTTCTTAGAATGATTTGACAATGAATAAATAAAATAAAAAACCTCCTTCTTTGTATTGTTGTAGATGTTGCA